CTGCCACCTGCGTCTGCAGGGCAGCAAGGGCTGCGGCGTTCGCGCCTATGTTGGCGGTGTTGGCGGTGGTCGTTTCCAGCGGCGTGTACTGCGTCAAAATTGCGGCGACCTGCCCTGCCGTGACTCCCTGCAGTTCAATGGTCTCGGCGGGCGTGCTGCCGTCGTCCAAAATTCGCCCGGTGATGGAACTTAGAAACAGTGACATGGCTTTTTACACCACCGCCCGCGACACCGCCCGAGCGACCACGTCCCAGTCCTCTGCCACGGCGGGCAGCTCGCTGTCCTCGGCCGCCCTGTCGTAGTACAGGAAAAGGCGCTGGAACTGGCGCTCCGGCTCTTCCTGCAGCAGGCTGTGCAACAGCTGCAGGAGGCGGGCGTGGCGCTCCTTCTTGGACGTGCGCACCGTGCGTCCCACCAGCTTGAAGGCGTCGGGGTTGTAGCGCACGATCGCAAGCTTGTGGGCGCTGCCCAGAGCCACGCTCGCTGCCATGTCAAAGTCGCGGCGCACATCACAGCTAGCGTCGCGCTCGCGGTGCTGGTTCTCGTCCACTTCTAGGATGACAGCGCCCCAGCAGGCGTACAGCACGAAGTCTGCAAAGGCGCGCTGCGTCTCCGACTCCAGACCACAGCCACGGAAGGGCAGGTGGTGCTGGTACTCAAACTGCAGCCCGGCTTGGCCCAGCAGCTGGTGCACTTCGAGCTCCTTGCGCCTCGTCAGCGCCTTGGGGTTGTCACCGTGGAAGACGCGCATGTGATTGCGCAGCGCTGTTGCTCCGGCGAAGCGGTGCCCTGTCAAATGACAGCCCTCCATGTTGCAAACAAATTCGTTGCAGTCGGCGCAATTCTGCTTGCTGCGATTGTGGTGACACAATGCTGATCCGCCGCATTCAGTGCAGAGACTCTTCCAACGCTGATGCTTGCAGAAGCTTCGCCCGCCGCGCAACCGACATTTGCCACGCTCCAAGCCGTGCTGGCAAAGGGAGGCTCCGCCACAGTCGCGGCACACAGCGCGCTGTTTGCCATGCTCGCAAATGCATGTGCCACCGCATTTTCCGCAGTTGTTGCGAACAACCCCGTGGGCGCAAATCTTCGAGCCTCCGCAGTCTTTGCATTGTCCGCGAATGCGATTGTGTTTGCAGATCTGCGAACCTTTGCAGATTTTGCACTGCGCTCTGTTGTTGGTGTGGGAGCAACTGCCTTTACCGCCGCATTCTTTGCAGTGATACTGGTTGCGGTTGTGCGGGCACTTCTTGCGCACCTGTGGCATGGCTGCCGGTACCGCTTACAACAAGCTCCTCAGCTGCTCACGCCGTATATTTCCTATAGTGCCCGGCAGCTCAATCGAGAACGCTCACACCCGAACCGCTGAGGGTTGTTACCTGATATGACACCAGATGGACATAGCACTGCTGCACTTTGTCAGCCTCAAGCCCCTTGAAGCTGAAGCGCGCC